AAAAAAAATCCGTTTCTGTTAATGCTGGTTTTCATGCTCTTAGTATCTGCAATTATTCAGTCATTTTCTTTAATGAAAATGAAGAATTATTTGTAAAATGTCTGATCAGTATCAGCATAAGAAAGCTGTGAAATGGCATTTCCAGGGAGACCCTAACAAACAAAGACTGTCGCTGTCACTGTCCAGTTCATTCAGACTCATAGGAGAACTGCCCCTTGGGGTTCCGAGGCTGTGAACCTCACAGAAGCAGAGCAGTTGGTGACCTCAAACCACTGACCTCTTGGTTGGTAGCCAGGTGCCATGCCACTGCACATGAAGGTGTCCTAACACCCACTGTAAACAAACCCATAGCCATCGGGTCGGTTCCGACTCATAGCGACCCTGCATAGGGTTTCTGGGGCTGTAAATATGTCCAGAGGCAGACAGTCTCGTCTCTCTTGAGAAGTGGCTGGTGGATTTGAACCGCCAGCCTGTGGTTAGCAGCCCAGTGCTTACCCTCCAGCACCGTCACAGCTCCTAACACCGACTGTATTGTTGTTGCTGTTAAGTACCATCAAGTCGGTTCTGAGTGACACTGTGACGTTAAGGTTTCCAAGGAGCAGCTGGTGGGTTTGAACCGCAAACCTTTTGGTTAGCAGCCAAGTGTTTATCCTGCAGCGCCACACCAAGACTCCAGCAACAAGTGGTGGTGATTGGGTACCACTGAGTGAGTTCCAACTCATAGCAACCCTGAATCGGGTCTCCAAAACTATAAATCTTTATGGGAACATAAAGTCTCATCTTTTGCCATGGAACAACTGGTAGATTCAAACTACTGACCTTGCAGTTAGCAGCCCTAGTTGTAATCCATGATGCTGCTCCTAAGTCTACCTTTGAGACATCCAATATTATCTTAAACCAAATATGCATCTTCATTTGTCTCCCAAAAAAGCTCTTTAGGAGGTGAAACAAAGGCAGTAGTTGCAGGGTGAAATGATATCAATTTTTTTTTTTTTTTTTGACAAGTCAGAGGATGGACTGAGCCACGAACGTGGGACTGAATGTCACCCCCTTGTAAACGTTTAAGGACCAGGTTCTTGGGTGATGCTTTGGATTTATTGCTTTCTTCTTAATTTGAATTTCCCAAATGCATCCTTTTTTTTTCCTGTCACAAAATGCATAACAGGAAAAGACCCATTTATGATGAGTGATTTACTGGGGGTAATTTACAGAGAAATGGCTTCACTCATTTCCTCTAGTCCGTATCCTGACTACTCAGGAAAACTGAAGGCTGAGAATGGAGAACGGCTGGGCGAAAACTTTCCAGTTAGGGGAGGTGTTTATCTGCTGACTCAATCATGTCAAAACAACTCAGGACAAACCACTGTAAATCACTGCAAGGTATGGAATGTTCTTGCAGAAAGCAGTTTGGCCTTTATTTTCAATTCTTTTAAGCTGGACCACCCCTGAGGCTCATGACTGTGGGGTCAGACCAGACCATGAGATTTTAGGGTCTGAAACCAAGTCCTAGTTCCTTAGGAACATGAAAGCTTCATGTTGAGGACCCTCTCCACCTTGCCCATTGCTTCTCTTCATCCGTGTGCTTTTTGACTAGAATAAATTAGCTGTAAGGACAAAGGTAAGTCAAAAAGTCTTGTAGGAACCTTTATCAAAATGTAGTTAGTGTTTCTCAGCACTCTCCACCTAGTTCTAGACTCTTCTGAAGGTGGCGTTTTCCTCTCTCCAAGCCTTCCCTGAAGATGTCTGTGCTCTTCCATTTATAGTATTCTGTTAATATCCTTTTTATTGTGAAAGTTTGCAGACAAGATCATCAGCTTTATAGTCAACCAGTTATATACTGTGTTTCATTTCAGTGACATTCCTGCAACAAGGGTTACCCTACTTCCTCCCCGTGGCTCCCAGTTTCCATGTTATATTTCACAAAAGAAAAAAAACAAAAGTATTTCATGCATACTTATAAAACAGAAAAATATTTATTCATTTAAATGTCCAGAGGACACGTTCTGCAAGTCAGCCTCCTGCCCACAGGCACACAGGCCTGCGCAGTCCATGGCTTAGAGCCCGCAGTTGCTCGGTCACTCCGGGCCACCGTCTCTGCTGTCACTGTCTTTCTGGGTTGCTTCTCATGCTCACTCATGTTCTTCCTTCTTGATGGTCCTGGGATCGTGTGTTCCTGAAATGAAAGATGAACTACTCCCCACCCTGGTTTAGTTAGACATCTTCCTCAGTTACAGTTGTGACCATCAGAATTGATCCTGCTAACAGTTACTCACAAATGAATCATAAAATCCTATCAGCATCTCTTCTCCCCTCTTCTCCCCTCTCCTCCCCTCCCCTCCCCTTCTCT